GATAAGACAGGCATGTACATGGTACGGCCGTCGTTCAACAGCACCGGATCAAAGCACGTCGAAGTCTTACACGTTGATTCGCTCGTCCGAGCCGCCCATCTCCTCCCCTTCTTCGGAGAGCAACTCGTACCTAAGGAGATGACTTGCCATCAGTCTCTAGATTCATTTGAGCTTTTCTACGTTAACCGATATGCCGACCACCATGCATTCGAAATTGCCTAGTTCAGTATGCTACTTATGTCCTTTACCACTGTTTATGCCCTCTCGTATTACTTATGCAACACCTTTTTCAACCTCAATGCACTTATTCTTAACGATCTGGAGCTTGCGAGAAATAAGGGTGCTTATGGAGGCCCGGCGATTTGATCCGCACTTATGAAAGTCGTGCTACTTATCCGATTCTGTCCTAAGTACACAGGTGCCGAAAAGCTGTAATAAGCTTGTTATAAGTCCCATCAGATCTCATAAGCAATGTGCCGTTTTCCTGATGAGGGAGCGCCGTCAAACGAGGGTTACGACGGTGAGGAGGACTTCCTTGGTCAGCGCCCCAGGTGGATGGATCTGACGTGAACTCCTTTCTAGCCTTCACTTTGGAAGCCGGTGTCCAGTGGTCTGAGGCATACGCAGCCGCCAATGCTACAGGGCGGGTGCTGGTTGGCGGTTTGTCTGCTGGCGGATCCGTGGGCGCTGCAGGTGGATGGATTCAAGGCGGAGGGCACAGCGCCCTGTCCTCAAACTATGGTTTAGGCGAGCAAAACTTCCACTGAGTCCGTCCCCACTTCAGCTAACGAATAATAAATAGGTGTCGACAATGCTATCCAGATGACAGTCGTTACATCCACCGGCGAACACCTCACCGTCAACGCCTACCAAAACTCAGACCTCTTCTGGGCCCTACGTGGTGGCGGTGGCGGAACGTACGGCATCGTCACCTCAGTCACATACCAGACGCACCCTGACCTGCCGCTCGTGGCTGCTTTCTTCGTTGCCTACTCCACCAACTCGACGGTCCTCAAACAGGTTTTCACTGAAAGCTTTGCGATGCTTCCAGCGCTCTCTGACGCAGGCTGGGGTGGTTATGGCGGTATCAACGAAACCGGTGTAGGATTTTTCGACATCTCACCCAACGTGTCATGGGCGCAGGCTAATGAGACATGGAACCCATTCTTCGAGCGCGTAGCAAACCTTACTTCGTCCGGCTTGAATATCACGACAGCCCTCACAGTGCCGTACCCTTCGTTCTACCCGCTATATGAGTCTATGTTCAGGACGCCTACGGGACAGAACGGCGGGAACCTGATATTGGGTTCGCGCCTCATTCCTCGGGTGGTGATCGAAACGAACAACGAAGAGATGTCCGCTGCGGTCTTTGAGACGCCTGGAATGACATGGAAGTGAGTACTTATTCTGCTGATTTTTTAAGCGGAAACTAACATATGACTCAGCTTTGTCGCCGGTGGCCAAGTATCCAAAGTCGATCCTGACTCCGCCGGGATCAATCCAGCCTGGCGCGATGCAGTCGTCCATATTACCTGGGGAGCGTCGTGGGATGACGGTGCCACGGCAGACGATATTGGAAAGCTGGCTGCCGGGTTGAAAGAACAGGAAGCGAGAATTCGAGCTCTCACACCTACGTCGGGATGCTATTTCAACGAGGTAAGCCGTTCCTATGTTATAATTAGGTTGATATGATGCTGATAATACGGATCAGGCTTCTCCGTTCGAGGAAGACTTCCAGTATACTTTCTTCGGTGACCATTATGCGAGGCTGAAAGAGATCAAGGATAAGTATGATCCGCATCAGCTGTTTGTTGTGACGCAGGGTGTAGGCTCAGAGGAGTGGAACGATGATTTAATTTGTCGAGTTTAAGAGGACAATTAATGAACGCACTCCTATGCGACTTCATCAATTATCTTGCTTCCGATTCCCGTCTCGTATTATTATTTTGCTATTGTCTCTAAAGTATCGATGTACTATCTGCTATCTGATATCTATCGAGATTCCAGTCGCAGTCGAAAGCAAATGTATGACGAGCATGCGGACGATTGTGAGCAATACATGTCTCGCAGTATCACTGAACTCCCTCAGAACCACTGTTCAGAGAGTCCCGGAGTACATTTCCTGAAAGGTGGACATTGAAAAATCGCAAAGACGTTCATCGGTCTGCTGCTATTGTAACTCACTTCTTCTCCCGCTTGGTCCACTTAAGACTACGATGCGGCCTTAGACGCTACAGCTGGTAGATCTTCGGAGAGTGTTCTGAATATAGTCAACTTTATGTTGACCCAATGCGATAGCTGATTGGCTAGTAAGAACGTTCTTAGTGATAACCCATTGGACATGTGCCGATAAACACCTATTTTCCTGCTTCGTATGCTACTGTAACATCTGCAGATGCACGCTCAACCGCAGTCTGCTGGCTTTCCTGATTTTGGACTGCAAGCTGATCCATCTCGCCATGGAGATCCTCGTAAAACTCCCTCGTCAGGCCAGCCGTCTCGCGCGCCTCGGCATTAAACGGACCCTTGATATCACCCCGCCAGCCACAGCGAACCTCCTCGCGGAATGTGCTCACCGGATCGACACCGTCACGCTCACATATCCAGGTGAACCACCGGTGCCCGGTCGTGACATGCGTCACCTCGTCTGTGTGAATCACCTCGAGCGTCGCAACGCTCTCCTTGTCCCCGGATCGCCGGAACCGCTCGATTGTGCCTGGATTGACGTCCAGCCCGCGGGCTTCGTGCACGAGATGTATAATAGCGAGCCTGGAGCGAAGTGAGGTGGAGGTGACGGTGGCCGATTCCCAGAGGCCTGCATGCACGGGGAGGCTGCCGTACGGGGTGCTCGGTGATAATGCGGCAAGGCGAGATACGAGGAGGGAAAAGTGCTTTGATTCATCGAGAGCCATCCTGGCAAAGTCCGAGAAGAACGCAGGAGGAATATCTGGATGAGAAGGGCCAAATCGTGCCATGATGTCCCACCTGATAAGCAAGATCAGTTTATCAGTCATATGGTAAGGTGTCGATGAGAGGCACTTACGCGAGATCGATCCTAGAGAAAGGGTCGAAATGAGTTCATCGGGCCAATACTACACGGTTCAAAGCGTACTTACGCCCATTGCTCAATATTTGCGAGAGCGTGAAGCATCACGGCAGCATTCTTTCTCTTGGCAAGTTTCCGAGGGTCGACCGTATTTCGTGTGTAATTTTCCTCTCGAGGGGGGACTGCAGGTGGTATGGGTGGGTTCTTGTTCTTGTGCCCAATCGAAGCAAGTTTACCCGTTCGGAAAAGATGTACCGCATGCTGGGTCCTCTGGACCTAAGCAAATAGTGCATGAGAAGGGCGAAACGCTGAGGGGTGAGCGCTCGCCTACTTCAAGTTAGGACTTACTTTGAGAGTAGGATTTGGGGTATTCAGAATCAAAACAGCCCACTGTATGAGTGTTGTAGGCTCTCCATCCAATGGAATAATGGGCTCTACTCCAGCCTGCTCGGAAATACTATCGTTCGAGGTCGCAGATTCCTCGCTTAGCTTTGCCTTTACTGGATCAGCGAATTCTAAGCAAATTCTGTCAGGAACCAGTCCAGGTAATGTCAAGATGACGAGTAGATTTACTCGCCTTCTGATATGCCTCTTCGCTCAAGGACGCGCCATTTACTGCCCTGCTCGGGAGATTGGATCCAAACGCAAGGAATGCGGTCTTCCTCGTCTTCCTTCACTTGGACCGTATACGTACATGCACGGAGCCCCGTCTCGCTGTGGCCAGTTCGAAGGTCAAAGTCATACCTGTATAGAAACATATATATCGATATCATTAACAGAATCATGTAACGGTTTACCTATGCCAAGGACAAACAGCTACAATGCCCGTTTCACATTCCTCGATCTCCGCATGGGACATGTCTGCCCCTAGGTGAGGGCATGTGGATTCCATTGCGTATAGTTGATTGTAGGGGTGGCTCGTGGGTAGCCCCTCGTTTGGTGTATGATAAGACCGTGCATCTATCTGCTCTCCCACCGACGAAAGACGAAAGAGAATGAGGGAATGATAACGGCCCTCTTGTGACCGAAGCGTTAGTAAGAATCGGTTGTGAGTGAGGAGGTCGGCATAAGGCGACACGCTGATGTGTCACTGGACGTAAGATAAAATTTGAATAGTTTCAGCATGTGCAACTCACAAGAAACATTCAGGTTCTGGCGTTTCGCTGGCCATGTCAGATGAAGTGAAACGGAGTTAGAGTGCTTAACCAAGGAAGGCGCGGGATCTAATCTAATCGGGGATTAGGTAATCTATTTTTCGCACGAGGGGTGGAAATTTGCATCGCTGCAGCCTGTCGTCCACTCTTTCGTTCGCCATTCACCTTCCTACTGCCAGGACGCTCGAAATCTGCCGGCTGCCTTCTTTACCCCAATCTGAGCGTCTACTTCAGTTCTCGATGACTGTCTCGTCACCTATCACCTGTGGTGATGGAAGTAAGCATTGGCGTCAGGATTGCGTGAGGATGCATGGGTACGCTCTCATCTCCAAGAGGTGTTACTCTGAATACACTGCTTAAGAAACATTGAGCCCCACCTGCTTCCTCGCTGGTCGGAACAGGCTATCTGCGCCTTGATTCCCCCATGTGCCTAAGTCATCAGTTTAGCGTCTCATTTACATCTAATACACCTTCGCATTTGAATGACAATGTCCAGGCTTGTCCTTGATGGCCGCACATTGGCCAACAGTGTCTGCGGTACTCCACACCAGTGAGACGTTCCCATCACATTAGTGCTTGCTCATCCCCGGAGGCGACATATGTAGCACTGCCTTCGGTGGGCGGCAATTTGCGACTCTGTGTTTGTATCTCGCTTGACTGCCACGCCATGTCGTGAGCACGCCATAATGGTCACGCCGTCGTGAAGAGAACACGAACTCCTCGGCACCCCCGCGCACCCCAGTGTCGGAATCTCAACTTTGCTCATGTGCTAACCGAGTCTTTGGAAGATGGAAAGGGAATTACAAATATTCTTCCCTCGGGCTTGGTCCCGCATCTATAAAGGACTGCGATTTCCGTCTCTTCTGAAGCCAACTCGCCTTGGGCAACTACATCTTTCCCTTGTTTCATCTGCTTTCTTCACTTAACACCTCTTGCCATGGCCACCTCTCTCGCAGGCTCACTTGCCCAGTTCACCCACTACGATGTCACGAGCCATATCGGCACGCGCTTCCCCGACTCCAAAGTGCAGCTCTCTGAGCTCATGCAGTCCGAGAAGGCGGACGAGTACGTCCGCGACCTCGCCAAGCTCGTCTCCGAGCGCGGAGTAGTCTACTTCTCGAGCCAGGACCTTAACGTCCAGGACCAACTCACGCTCGCGCAGCGCATGGGCGAGCTCACTGGCAAGCCGTCCGACTCAAAGCTGCACAAGCACCCCATCTCAGAGGAGACCCCCGAGCTTGGTGCCGAAGTGTCTGTCATTTCGTCGATGGGGTGAGTGATGTCGCCATCCAGCTCATCTGTAGCCGAAGCTCACGGGCCGATCTGTTCTAGCGGCATCTCCCGTGCCGGCCTCCAGATGGGCAGGCGCGCCAGCGCGGGCTGGCATGCCGATATCACCTTCGAGCGCGTGCCTTCAGACTATGCGGTACGTTACTCTAAAATGTTCAAATATCCCACAGAGCTCTTATCGAGGTTCTCAGATCCTCAAAATGCACACACTTCCCAAGGTCGGCGGTGACACTTTGGTACGTACCTTAGGGATCCATCCCATATTTACTCATGAAGCTGACCGGGTTTATTAGTGGGCTTGGTTAGTCTCCGATAACGCAATTTACGAATGTTGTGACTGATGAGTGCTTCTTGGTTCAGTGGTTACGAGGCATACGATCGTCTGTCCCCTGCCATGAAGAAGTTCCTCGAGGGTTTGACCGCCGTGCACAACGCTCAGTTCTTCGTTGACGTACGCGCTCAAGATATGTTAGCGTGGAAAAAGTGCTGATCATCCCCTTTTCAGATGGCCAAGGCCATGGGCCACCCAATCCAGGATAACCGCGGCTCGCCCGAGAACAACGGAGGTGACCTGACAGCTGTCCAGTACGTGGGACATCACTAATCATTTCCCGTTGTTAATCTGAACCTGACCCGTGATCCTCTTTCCGCCAACAGCCCGGTCATCCGCACGCACCCTGTGACGGGCTACAAGACACTCTTCGTCAACAAGACATTCACTAAGCGAATCATTGAGCTCACACCCGAAGAGTCCGATGCGCTGCTCGACTACCTCTTCCGCCACATCTCGGAGAACCATGACCTCCAGGTCCGTTATCGCTGGGAGATGAACGACATCGCGCTCTGGGACAACCGCTGCACATTCCACACGGCCACCAACGACTACGCAGATGACCGTGCAGGCCAGCGCGCCGTCGGCGTCGGCGAGAAGCCCTACTTCGACGCTGCATCGAAGTCGCGCCGCGAGGCGCTCGGCATCACCTTCTGAACGTTTATTCGCATCCTCCCCTATTCCTCCTCTACCTCCTCATACCTCGGAACGCATTTCATGAGCCTCGTACAAAAAGGATTCGCTGGTCGACTGACCGAACCCTGTAGATAATCATTAGTGCTTATATATCATTGTAGACTAGACATTGCTATCCATTGCTTTACTTGCATCGATCTCCGACCATACCGAGTCCGAATGTTCTGCGCAGTGCATGGTAGGCAACTGGTCGACTCCAATAGCTCTAGTTGATCATCGCAGGAAGTCGACATCGTGCGATCCGGGGCGGATGGCGGATTCCGAATTGCGTGATAATGCTCTTTCGTCGACGAATATGAGCAAGTGAACCCCATATGTGCCAGTACCCAGGTACCAAGGCATTGTGTCGCCCCATGACGGCGGCTGCAATATCATTTTATCCCGATGCCAATCAATGCTTACTTCGCGGCATGATGAACACATGGCTCAATCTATGTACGTGCACTGAGATCGATCCGGGCTTTGTCAGATCAGAGGCGATGTCAGAAAGAAAGATCACACGTCGTCGATCTTACACCCTGTTTGTTCACTTCGCAATCTTTCTCACGACGTCACTTTTGTAAGCGCACAGCGAACACACAAGGACCCCGCGTACACTAGTGTCCTAAGGATGGCGTGCTCATGACTGCAAACCAGCATCGTGAAGGGGAGAGTTGCCTGCGGCATTTCCAATACGTCTTGTAGACACAGGCGATGGGACAAGCGCGGCGGAAGGGGACACGACTGACGAAAAGCAGGAGAGCAATGGGAGGAGTTCAAAGGTATAACGTCGTGGCGCAATTCCGAATAATCTCAGACACTTTCAGTCTTAGAAATTTGGAATACCTCGAGAGATCGACGTGCAAAGTTCCGTTAGAATTTGGAATAAAGTGGACGGATAAGCTACAATTCGGAATACATCAACAGGATAGACTGGCCAGGATAGACTCTAAAGCCAAAATCGGACTCGTGCGGATCTCCCGACTTGCGTCATTGACAGAGATGCTCACCATGGCGTGCTCATGAGCATACAAACTTTCATCCGTTACAACCGAGGCGAAGACTCCTTATCGCATAATTTGCCATGGACATGTCAGAGAAACATTTCAAAGATGTGTGCTTACACTTGCACTGTGTTGCAGTGCAAGCTCTGTGATGGTATTATCTCCAAGGTTAGAGAAAATCGCCAGCGTAGCGCAAACTATGATATCAGCATCTGACTTCATGACGCTGCGGCAGTTCCGATTTTCGCTGGACATTTCCGGTCATCGAACGTCTTAAGTATTCGGAATATCTGAAGGATCGCCCTTTCGTTATTTGGAATACCTAGCAAAGTTCTCAAGTATTCGGAATGGGAACTGTAAAGCCAAAACTGCAATCTGCCTTCCAAAGATTCATGCAGACGAACATGATCTCCGAGCTGGTCTCTATGTAATAGGGCACGTATGATACAACGATGGTGCGATTAATCTAGCTGGGAAACCGAGGCAATACAAGTGCAATGGCCCAGCGGATCACACATCTAAACTTGACATTACCGGCAGCGGTCGCTTCGCTCCTAAACCTGGAATTTAGATCTGAAAATATTCATCTCGTCAAGTCGGCAATACCCACTTCGACATACGGAAAGAACACCGTAATGAAGGCGATTCCGGATTTCCCCAGAACCACCCAAGATATATCCAAGAGCTTCCAAGGGCTTCTCGTCCGTAACTCATTTTTAATATTGAGAACAAGATGCCCAACAGGAACCACACGCAAAATCCCAGAGGTGCTGATATGGACCTCTCGAATAAGTATTTGCACAGTTTTGAAGAGCTAAGATGATTACCGTTTGACGATCTAACAATACTACAGATTGCCCTCGAAGTTATAATACATGATGCGCAATGCATAATGACACTGTGCATCCGCTAAAGCCGCCCAAATAGCCTTGCGCAGTCGACGAACTCATGATCCGACCTCCACGGACGTCCCAAAACGTGAGTTTAAGCGCGGACCAACACAGCCGCCAGGATCGCTAGGCGAGCGTCTCATATGGACTACAGTGAAAAGTCAGAGCCAATAAATATTCGCAGGGGTACGTATTAGCACACGGGATATATGCAGAGTATTTTGAGTGGTGCGTGTACATCTGGGGTTGGCAAGGAGGGGGGATAGGGGCAGTTGCGTATGCAAAAAAGTGAGGAGGGAAAGGAGGAGATAGAGTAGGAGTAAGAGATGCGTAAGGAGTGTGAAAGGCGGGGGAACTTCCGAATCTAAACGGCGTTGCTCGCACACGAGAATGCGGAGCCGACCTCGTTCGCCTGGTACGAGAGGATGATTGAGTCTATCGACACCTGTGATCGTCATTCGGTGAGCGCTATTATCTCCGAGGAACAGAAAGACCGCAAGACGCACGTATGTCCCCGCGATGAGGATGTAGAACCCGAGCACGATCAAGAAGTAGTTGAACAGGGTTTCGGCGCTCCGGAGACCGCCAGCCCAGCGCTGGGCGCGCGGGTATAGCTCGAGGTACGCCATGCCCCAGAAGATGAAGCCGAACCAGCCATCTGAATGTGCGAGTGGTGTCAATCAATCAGTCAAACATCCGTACATCTTAGACACGCACCAAAGAGCGAGGACATCAGACTGAGCATGTCCGAGAAGAAAGGGATGATCTCGGCGATGACGAATGCGACGGCCCACGTGCCCGCGACGATGCCGATCCAGGTCGCCCATCCGACGAACGTGTTCGAGTACCGGTGGTGTGAGTTGCGGAATATGCGGAAGAAGATGAAGCGCGACGTCACAGACTGGTACCGCGCCATTCATTAGTCGACCGTTCACAAGGAGGGCAATGAAGTGAAATGAATGAAGCGGGGTGGACGAGATGGGCATGGAAACAAGGCGGGGTAAAGATGATGCTTAAGCAAGAGATGGGACACGCACGCTATACAGCGACCCGAGGAACAGAATTGTGGGCAGTACGAACGAGAACGCGATCTTGCGGTACGTGATTTGCAGCGATCCCACCGCGGGCGCGACCACGTACTGGTTCCCGGTCCAGTGATAGATGAGGCCACCACATATGGTGTACACAATTATCTCAGCGATCGTCACTGCCCAGAGCGCTGCATACGAAGACGAGAAGTCAGCAGACGTGGATGGACCATATGGGTGAGGGCTGCACGCACCTTTGGGGAACTCTCTGGGATCACGCATTTCCGCGATGAACTGCATGCAGCGAGGAGCGATGGGTCAGCTGAGCCTTATTGGAATTGAGAAGTTGTGCTACGCACCGAGGGAAGTGTGATCTGGCCGACAAGCGTGTACGTGATGTTCAAGAACGCCGACATGCCTGAGAAACGCATCGTAATCAGTCATCGTCTATAGCGGACTCAGCCATCACAACGTGCTACTCACCTGAGACGTACGTCGTCCCCTTGACGGGGAACGCAGTCACCAGGGGCTCCTGACCGACGATGTATCCGAAAGGGTGATCCTGGACGCCCGCGAACACGATCGCGAGTAGGACGGCGATAAATGTGAAGCCGGCGGCGACGGTGCCAATCCAGCTGAGCTGGTCGAGCGTACGCGGGAGAGATATGAAGAAGCACGCGACAGCGGTGACGACGCTGAAGATGATCGTGCACGCGGCGCTATCGGTGAGCGTGTTGAGGAGCTCAGCGCCGACGAGGACGTGGAGGGCTATAATACGAAACAAGCAAAAGGGTGCACACGTAACGATACATCAGCAACCGGCGGGGGCGGTGCGAACATTGCGTTGCGTTGCGGGGCGAAGGGTGGGTTTGGTCATGCGGGTGCTCGCGACTGGAGAGGACGATGGACTATTCACCTTGGATGAAGGTGTTGTTCAGGAAAAAGAAAACGGCGGTAATGTTGTACGCGATTTCGGAGCCGCCGAACAACTTGCGACCAATGTCGCACGCGTCGCGAACGTCTGGGTGCTTCAGGCAATAGCGCCAGAGAATCAGGGAAGTGTAGAGGACGATGGCAGCGACCACGAGTGTGACAATAATGCCCGGTACGAGACCGAGAACAGAGTACGACCTGGGATGGAGGCATGGGTGAGAAGAAAGGAAATAGAGCGAGGGATAATGAAACGTACCATGGAAACGAGAGAATGGCGAGGCAGATGTACTCGGAGAATAGCAGACCTGCCGTCTAGAAAATTTACAGCCGTTGAACATAGGGCAACGACGAGTAAATTATGGTAGGACGGACCTTCTGCCACGAGCAGGTCCTGTACTGGATCTCGTTGCCTGCCTCACGCTCCTGAAGGTCCCTGAAGCTCTCGGCGTCATTGCTGACGCTCTCTGTGTAATTCTTGGCCTCGCCGATCTTGACGGCCTCGAGGTCGTCTCTGTGCTGATTCTGGCTCATGTTGTGGCGCCGCGCCCGGTTGTCCGAAGTCGATCGTGTTGGCCGTGGCGGAATGGGTCAAGGAGAGAACTAGAAAAGAGGCGCCCAAAGGAAACAAGCAATGGCGGCAAGTGGGGGTGCGGTGCAAACGCAGGTGGGCTATCGTTGACAGACCTGTACTTATATATCCTGCAGAAGATTGGCCGGTTGTATAGCCACAGCATTTGAAGACGACGTCAGTGGAACAGAGGAGGTGGTTATGTAACTTTGATCCTGATCGCTATCATTTCCTCGTTCCTGACTCGAGAACGTCCTCCCGTGTTGCCCAGGGACACCCGTCGTTGGTCGTCGGTCGTAATCCGCTGCCCCAATGACGTCTTTCGTTGCCGCGCCAGCCCGCTCTTGCGACATTCCACCCAAGATTTCATTGCAAGTTCCCCTTAGTTTGTCTTATAGTCGTCTCTCAAGACAAGGCACGCACCTCGTACGAACAGGAATATTCACGTTGACGGAAAAGATGGTTGCATTCTACATTTCAAGCCGCTGCTCCACCCACCCATGGATGTCCACTCCTAAATCTTCCAAATTCGGAGCCATGCCGAGTCGGCAGCCCGCACCAAGCCCGTGTCCGAACCACCGGGTCCGGGATGCCCAGGAGTAACCGCCACCGGGCGCAAGCAGTTAGCCTGTCAGTCCCATCTCCTTCGCAAGAGCTCGACGCTGATGACAGCGCTCTCTGGATGTGATCGTTCATCAAAGCAGGCGCATCGTCGTCACCTCTCACTACCGTTGACAGCCCGCCCGCCCTCCACCATAGCACGCAACCTCGGGATCTTATGGTCTGCTAAAAGCATTTTAGCTCCTCTTCCATTAGAACGCCTGGGTCGCGCTGGCGGCGACGTCGACCGCCACCACCATCAAGAGCTCAAGGTGGTTACCATCCATTCTAACCAGGGGCGGGATCGATTCGACGACTAAGGCGCTGGTCGTTCGCTGTATCTGGCGATGACATGATCTCGCCATGTCTCAGTTTATCCCTGCGTCTTCTCGTCTTCACGCGTGCTTGCAGATTAGCTTCATTGCTTACTACTTCGGCTCAACTCCTGGAGTGGTCAGCTCTCTGGTCTTCAGCCGGGCGTCATCGAGCTGGCACCTCTACCGGGATTCTGAGAGGCTTGAACTGCCCTTTTCGCATCCATCCCGCGTTTCTTAGCTGAGAACACTTAACCCATGAACGTTCGAACGTTGAACGTGTACTGTAAGTACCGTACCTCACCTGTCAATATCCATAGTTCCAGACCGATTACGTGCGCAGCTCCGCCAGTCTCGGGTTTTCTTGGTGCTTACGATGAAACCATCTCCCATCTCCTGAGAATGGGTTCTCGATAACTGCCTTCTGCTACACTCGACGATGAGGTTGCCAAGAGAAGACTCTTGAGGCTCCTTATATTACCAAAATCGACCTGAATATATCAACGTATCGAGTGTCTATAGCTTTTTGGGTTGGCCAGCGGGAGTGATGACTGAAGCTGAAGCTTGAAGTGCGCTTCTTTTCGTCCTTGTCGCACTGATCTATTTTGGTCTTTACTTCTTTCCAGTTTAACACCGCTTTATCTGAAAATCTTGTATGGCGCGCCCCGCAACGGAAGAGTCACTGTCGTTGATCGTCAACCTGACGATCAGCCGTGTCGACCAGTTGGTACTTGCCTGCGCTGCACCCGATTTCTGCATGAGAAATACAAATATGGCTGGTTGATGGCTGGTTACGCTGGCGTATACACATGTACGTAACAATTACATTGAGCTTGTGTCCAATAATAAGTCTGCGTAAGTATGACGCGCTATTCCTGAAAGCCCACTACTCGAAGAACGCAATGTCCGTGTGAAGGAGACGTATCGTAATGCACCTATCATCATCTAGTCCAAGGATTTTCACCGTTGTCCCATCTGTGATTATCCTTAGCGCGGTGTGGTGCTCATCCAAGCGAGGCCGATATCTTGCAGGCAGCCAGCAAATTCTGTGCTTCCCCTTTCTAAGCCACCCATCGGCAGTCATGCAAAGATCGGACCAGGAAAGTATGTCGTAGAATGCGCCTGGGTCGTGATCTTCATCGAGTTGATATTGACCATTACGCATCTTGTTCAGCTCGCTTGCCCTGAGTGAATGCGTATTCTGCCCTGGAGGCAAAGAATGGCGAGGCGTCGTGGCGAGGCGATAGCACTTCCCGGAGGAGTATATGCGAGTCAACGTTGGAGAGATAAACGGTGCGTAAAGCCGGTTATGACTTGGTATGCGCACAAGCGTCACCATTGTCGACGTAGCAATTTTCCATTGGTAAAGATTCAACCACTTGTCTTCTTCTTTGGTCGCGCCCCAGAGAGAAACATTTTCTTCCGTTACGGAGGCGATGGTAGAGAAATGCTCGGGGAAATGTGTGTAGTACAGCTCAGGGGGAGAGAACGTAGCCACCCGTTGTAGTGCGTTGCCTTTAAGGGAGTAACACGAAACGTTCCGCACCTTGGCAGACCTTATAAGAAGCGAGAATGTTGATTCTTCGCCTGAGAAACAACTTTCCACAAGCTCAGAGCTACTTATGACCTCAGTTCCTATTCGAGTGCGTCCTTGAACGTCCCAGATTTGAATTTGAAGGTTCTTGGAAGATGCCTTGTCCACACCTGCAATCAAAACATATGTCGATTTGGGAGAGAATTTAACACTCTTGAATTCGTAGTCTGTGCCCACTGCTAAGTCGTGTCGAAAGGCAGAGCCTGAGGATGCAGTCCCAACTATAAGATATTGTCCGCTAACATGGGACTTGTAGGCTCTTGCTTCTTGCCATGCTGAGCAAGCCTTGAGTTCGTATTCTGGCCCAGGATTGAGTTTGGCGTTCAGTGTATCGGATGCGGGATGGGACGGAGCCTGAGAAATATCCGTCAGCATGATCTCGTAACGGCCCACTTTCTTAGCGCCGAATCGTTGCTTGTTTTGCGGCGACCAACTGGCACTACTATTCTCCCAAGAGAGGCCTGCAATATAGTCATCGCACATTATCCCAAGCGAACCATCGGCGTAAAAGAAATACTGAGGTTCTCGACCACGGCGTTGCCAGTGATATGCTGATTTTATTCTTTGCAATTTGTACGCTCTATTTGATGGTATTGTTGAAGGAAGCGGCTGGCATACATTGGAAATCCAGGTTTTACGAATCTTGAAGCGCAACAGCGACGAGACCTTATCCAACAAAAATAGCTTGATAGCGTTGTGAAAACTGGTGACGTGTATGCAGGAAAACTGTGATAAGCTCTTGGCTTTGTCAGCATCAATGATGTCAGAGCTGGCATTGAGCCCGCGGATTTGGGTACGGGCCGTGCGGTGGGCGATATGAAATATCCGTTGTTCATCTGGTGAAAAAAAGAGCAGGCACTTCAAAGAACTCGCAGGAAAGGGTGAACAGTTCGCATCCCTGCATTTTGTTTTCGATAGCAGCTGACCACGAGCAGAATTAAACACGAGAATGTGCTCGGAAAAGTGAACCAGGAGGTAATCTCCTCGAGCCGAGAGGTTGAGGGTCACACCAGCTGTGTCCATCCTCGTCGATCCGGTGCGTTGATACTCATGGGGTGGCGATCGAAGGTAAGAGTGAAGTTGAATATACGACAACAGTTCCTTGGTAGCTACCTCAAAGACTTCTATCAAAGGGAACAGACCATCCTTGTCGACACTGAAGCATGCGACCGTATCCCCATTAGAAGGAAGAGCTATACGAGTTCGATCCTTTAACAACCCTGTTGGCGGCCTGTTGGTACAAAATGAGAAAACCTCTCCGTCGGATGGTCGCCAGACCAGACAAACGGGTGTATCACTAGTATCCCCAAGCACATGTCCAGGAAACGCTACAAGAGAACCGTTGTGCATGATGTCGCGTATCCCAAGGTTTGAAGTGCTGAAGGGAAGTGACGCAACCAGCACTCCTGTCGCCGTGTTCCAAACACGTACCGAATCTTCTGTAATAGCAGCAATTTGCGATGTATCAGGCGACATAGCAACCTTAAGACTCCAAGTTTCAGTATTGATCTTGTGCATAAAACATCCCCATTCATCGTCCAGACCCTCTTCGAATATAAACGCAGTTTCTGTTTCAAAGTAGTGGCTGTAGACTTGACGGATCTTGGAGTTTTTCGGACTGAAAGGAAGAGCTGACTCATACACGTGAAGAGCGGAAATGCTGATAGCGTCGAAGAAGGTTAAAGTGAGCCTCCAGCTGTCATGTAGCAGAGCGACAGTGTCATCCTTTTGAGCAAACGAGCCTCCGGGCCAATCCTATATTTGCAACGGGGTCAGCCATTGGAATGAGTGTTAAGAGATAAGGTCTCACCGCGACTAGCCCCCTTGCCTCATAAAAGATCGTTATTCCACGACGGAGCTCACCGATTACTGCGTAGGCTTCGATCGAGAAGAGGACACAATGGCGAAGGAAGTCGAATAAGTGTCCCTGGATCTCGTTCGTAGGCTGAGTGAGCTGGACATGATGAAGCCAATAAAGACACGCATAGCGGAGTGCTCTAGGGATGGAGTCGCGCTTTTGAGCAAAGTCCGGAATCTCGTCATGGAGCAATGAAGGGTCGTTCAAACCGCAGATGTCACGCTTTAGCAGCGCACGCATCGTTTGAAAGCACGACAACGCCAGACGGTTGTGGATAGCTGTGACGTCATCGTGCTCTTTCTGTTGCAGGAAGTCCCGGAGGGACGAGTGAAACACTTCAACCGGACCGGGAGAGCCAGGAGGAGGGACAGATATGAGAGCGGAAAAGGGGATAAGATATGAATGGACATGATCACCAAAGAGTTGGTCCAAGTCAGAGATGGCGAGAGGTTCAGCGAGGTTGATGATAAGGGAGAGATACTTCATCCCCTTGGCGCGCGTCAAAGGGTCGACTTCGTCAATGATAGAAGAATATAAATGATGTACGTCTCCCATGTCTTGTGACGTGTTGCGGCGTAGCATGCTGCAGATCAGCCGAAGGCGGCTCTGGGGCTCATCCTGACCTATAAATCGAATGACGGTAGCAGCGAAGATGAAGCGGCCATGGGCCTGCTCAGAGAGTATCTGAAAATCGACTTCGGGGGGCCATGGCCCGGGAATGGAGAAAGCACGGAGACAGGTGTCGTATACGTGATCGAACGAGTGTCGGAGGAAGCGTACGACGTCCTCATGCGAGTCGAAACGCTCGACAAGAACAGTCTCGAGAACGGGCGAAACGTTGGGGTTACCCATAACAGCACGGATCTCGGGCCAGGGTCGACTAGTGATGATGATATTGAGAACCGGGAGAGAAGCATCTTTCACAAGACGCGCGAGGAGGAGTATGAACGGGCGTATAAGGTCCGTGCCGCTATTAGCGCCTTCGTCCAGAGCGTCGAAGACGATAGACATGTCGGGCGTGTCTTTCCAGATGATGGCTAGCTCTCGCATAGGCTCCATGATGAGCTTCACCAACAAGTCGTGACGTGATTTGTCGGGAGAAAGCAATGCAGGGTCATCGGAGATGGCTTTAACGATGGTCTCTCTGGCTATAGGGTGATGGAGACCGATCTGATAGGCTAAAGTGAGGAGGACATAGTTGAAGGTACTGCGCTTGGTATGCTTCCTAGAAAAAAAGAATGTGCCGACGAGCTTGCCTTCCGCGCGAAGCCCGTCGGCAAGCGTGTGGGCTACGGTCGACTTCCCCGACCCAGACTCTCCCGAGACCCAGACCACCTTGCGTCTTCCATCGTCAACCAGATCCTTGAGATGCTGTAAAAGGTCGACCCTCGTGCCTTCCAGACACTGAGAGTGGGGCTGACGTTCGTTCGAGTCGTAGATAGCGCCGTGGGCGCATTCCTGCGAAAGCCTCAACCAGGGGTCGTGTGCGGATCGCGGACCTGGTCATAATATCAGCAGCGATGAAATCAAGTTACGGGGAGACGTACCTTTGGAGCTCGATTCCATGGTGGTGGTACGAGTTTGAGCTTGCAACATCCTGTGCGCGGGCGGGCTGAGCAGCCTTAAGGATCATCGGACTATTCCGAACACACAGCAAGCTCCAGTATTTAGACGCTCGGGTCTCGAGCAGCGTAAATATGCAAAACAACACTGGGGGCATTAGACCGTTTGAGCAGCAACGAGTTTCCTGTCACTTTTGGCGGGCTCCACGGCGAACCCACCAATAGGATTTCTAGAAAAAATCCGAAATCTGTAAAGCTCAAAGCGCACGGACATCGTTACTTGAAAAAATGCTGGATTGGTGAGGTATGGTCACGAGTGTCACTCTGCTAGGGATGAATATACACGCATTCTGGGGGTTTGCTGCAGCCATGCGTCGACATTATCTTCATGCATACTTAAACTATTAAGGCCTGCGTACGAGAGGCTGTGTCGACATTGATGTTGAGCTCGAGGCGCGAACGCCTACCATAGGGCCTTGCCCCGGAGGGCTTGAAACTACGATTGATAATAATAATGAAATTGAGGTGCGACTCCAGCAAACAGACAATAGTTCGCTTCTCTCACCCCAAGCACGACCAAAGACAACTCAAGTGCGAGATGATAACGCCAATGATATATAAATACTCAACGCGAATCAAGACAACGATGGTATCGCTTCGCATCGTACCATACAGCACACTACACACAGCCTACCCGGCCACATCCGCTGCAGAAAACGACCCAGACACCCTCCCCCGGAGCCTCTCCAGCGCCTCCACCTTCTGCTTGACCGATTGAGCATCCTCGTGGGCGAGTTGTGCAGCATGCTGCGTATCAGAATCCTCGGCCTCACCGTCTCTCGCCCTCGACCGCGACCTCCCCACACGCGGCACCGACCCATCCGCATACACCCTCGTCGCATTCCGCCTCTTCACCGTCGTCTGCCTCGCAACCGGGGGCTCCCTCGCCACCGCCGGCCCCCTCGCCGACAACTCCCGCCCCGCAAGCTCCACAAGCGACATCGACGGCAACGCGCTCGTAAAAAACAAGCTCGACGCAAGCGGCGGAGACATCACCGTCGGCGGACTCGACGGCAACACCGCGCGGACCCCCGCAGCCGCGGCCCTTCCACCGGCCGCCGCGCTCGACCCCGATCCTGACGAAGGAGCACCAGCGCCAGCGACAGCAGCGGCGACCGCGTCCGCGAGCGTGACGACGGGATGCGGATCCACAGGCAGAAGCGGACCGACTCCGAGGCCAACTGCAACCGCAGCTCCAGACCTGAGCTTAGCCGCAGAACCATCATCAGCAAGCGGCAAACTAGACGTCGAATCGCTCGCAGCCGGTCCCCTCCTCATAAACGGCGCCGCCTTCACGTTCGCACCCGCATCCGTCTCTTGCGCGCGGATATAAGCGCGGCGCGACTCGGGATACGGCGAGCGCGCGACAGACGCGGGCGGCGACGCAGGCGGTGAAACGTGTTCAGCGCCATGGGCAGTATGCGTGCGGCGGCGCTCGTGCAGCGTCTTGAACGTGCGCGCGAGTTTGCCGGACTTGGGGCCAGCCTCGGATGCAGCCTTGGTTTTGTCCTTCGCCTTGTCGGTATCAGCGGCACGGGGTCGGGTGACAGTGCCGCCGCTCGAGCTGCTCCTCCCGAGCCTTTGCTTCCCGTCGTCCTGCTGAGCCTTGTTCTTGCCCTTGCCCTTCTTGGAAGAAGACCCGCCAAAGAGCCCCGCGAGAATACTACTCCCCCTTTGCGCGCGCGTGCTATCCGACGCCACCAGCCGACCACCCTCCAGCTCTGGCTCCGGCTCTGCGTCACGACGGCCCCGCACCGCCAGCGGCTCGATCCCCGCCCCTCCACCACCCCTCACACCCCTCCTGACCGGCGTCGGCGACGCGTCGTTCCCCTCAAGCAACGCATCGCGCAGACTCATGCGCGACGACACCGCCGACGACGCACTGATCGAGCCGTACGACGCATGCTCCCCCGCCCGCGCGAGCGCACCCAGCTCAGACGACTCCGAGTCCTCGGCCGACGAGGTAGGCCCAAACACGTCCCGCCTCACGTCCTCGTCGTCCGCAGCCGTCGCTCGCCCCTCTCGTCGCGAGCGCGAGCCCAAGCTAGCGCTCCGCAGAGAAAGCGAAAAGCTCGGCGAATCCACAACGTACGGCGCACGCGCGAGCAACGAGCGCATGCTCCGGTCCATGGCCGCGGGCGGCACTCTTCCCTGTGCATGCGCAGCAGACGACCTGCCGATGAACGGATCGTACTCGGGCGCAATCTGCGCCATGCCCACGCCCGAGAGCGTCGCATTCGGGAGATTCAACAACCCCAGCGTGGGCGCGCTGCCGTTCGCAACTGCCCCCTCCCGTGTGTGGGACGAGTAAGATGCCGCCGCAGAGCCAGAGCGGGAAGAAGGCCCAGCGCGCGCAGTCCGCCCCGCCGGCCACAGCGTGCTCCCAAACGCGCCGAGCGACTCGTACCCGTACCCATACTGTCTCCCCGGGGCACGCGCACGCGTCTTACTCGGAGTGCCCTCCTCGCCATCCGTATCCGCGCCCGTACCCGCAGCACCATACGCGTACTCGCGGCCCGAAGACGCAGGGAACAGCACAACGCTGTCCATAATAAGCGTCGCATCGCTCGACTCCCCGCCCCCACGCCCGTGCCCATGCCCATGCCCACGAGCACGGTCAAACGCCCTCGGCGAGCCAGGCACATACTGCGGCCCGCACTCGAGCGCCGGCGAGCGGGGCGGACGCAAGCGCGCGCGCAGACGGACACCGCGGCGGTGCAGCCAGCTGATGGCGAACCACGCTGTGAGGCCGCCGAAGACGAGGCCGAGGAGGATGAAGAGCGGGAGGAGGTACGTGAGGTTGAACGCGCTGTTGGTGCCGCCGTTGGGGGTGTTGCTGGTGTTTTGGTTTTGGGAGGCCGGGTCGAGGGACGGGGAGGCGGAGGCGGGGGCAGATGATGTGGTATATGCATTAGAAATGGAAATGGTATTGGGTTGGGTATATGCTGCAAGATTGGTATTCATGATGGAAGTAAGAGTGGGAGTGGAATCCGGGTTGGTCGTGATGGGTATAGGTGTAGTCATATCAGTTCCCACTCCGGCCGCGAGGGTAGAAGCGGGAGGAGTGGAAGAAGCGCCCCAAGGCGGGTATGGCCACCAGTAGTCCGAGGGTGTGTCCGTGCTCGGAGGTTGGCTGGTTGCTTGACGCGCATAGTGATGATAATTTAGATTCATGGTGGATGTGGGTGTGGGTGCAGGGGTAAAGTAAGGGTCTGTGGGCGCACCACTACGGGTCGCGTTGATGATCATACTGGGCCTACTGGAAACCTGAGTGTTGGGGACCGAGGACGATGAGACCGACACGGGACTCGACGCAGAGGGCTGAGAGATCTGCGGTGGGCTTGTCAAGGTCGAGGCCTGCGGCGATGAAGGTGGAGCGGCGGATGATGTAGGAAGATGGGGAGTAGGACGCGCTGGTAACGCCGGAACGTTTTGTGTTACGCCAGAAAGTAGTAGGACGGACTAGATACGCCGTGTGGGTATTGTTAGCCGCTTCAAAAGAGGATAGAATGCGGGCAACGTACAGACTGGAGGGGGCGGCCTGGAAACTTGGCCTTTGGTACTGGCAGTCCACGAAGTGGTGAACGCCCTGCGATTGAAAATGGGCCTTGGTGCGGCGACCTTGGGAACTTCGATCACGCTCTGCTCGATAGCGTCAAAAGTAGTCCTTGTGGGTGGTGCAGACAAGGGTCTCTTGGGAGGGGAAGCCGGTCTCTTCCAAGTGTTCCTTGGGGGAGACAAGAGGTTATGATCGTACTTGGGAGCGCGGCTGCGTGCTACAGGTGAAGAGGGCGCAGACGAGGGAAAGCTGGTGCTGGTTCCGTCTGGTTCGGATTCTCCTGGTGCTGGAACGGCGACAGACAGAGTGGGTTTTGGGGCGGGCAGGTCTGGTGGAGGTCTTTCAAGGGTGACCATGACGGGCTTGCAGGCAGTGAGGTCATTTTGACTCTGACGGCCAAAGGCGAGGTTGAAACCCAGGGCGGGTGAGCGGGGACGCATCGACGTGGGGCTGACGAGTACAGTCACTTCTGCCATCTTGTGGGGAGAGACAAAAGACGGGGAGACGATGAGATTCTGTTCTCTGCCAGCGCGACAAGTGGCCTACCATCTTAGGTAATCCAAAATGAATTCCACGACCCGACTTCCCTCCATGCAGATAGACGTAATCATGAGAAGTAGAGACAGGCAATGTTGTCAACTACCAGTGGATCAAGTCGAGTTTCAGAACCACCAAATCCGCTTCAGATCCTGACGCAACTTGATTGCAATAAAATTACTAAAACAATAAAAATAAAGCACATCCTTCAAACCCGACACAACAGCTGCCCATCCCACTCCTCCGACCCCACCCCCTGCCTAACCACAAACAGCCTCCCCGGATCCACCTCATCCTTGATCGCCTTCAGCCGCTCATAATGCCTCCCAAAGAACGTCGTCTCAAAATCATCCTCGAACGGCGACGCCTCGTTGAAGTAGCTCCCTGAACCCGGCGTGAGCGCCGCCATCGCCCGCGACTGCGCCCCCACCAGCTCCGCGAGCCGCGTCAGGTCCTCCGACGACGTCCCGTCCTCCCATGCCGCGAGCCACACAATGTGCACGAGCGCCTTGCGCCACGCCGGGTTCACCGCCGCCGAGTCCGGGTCCGCTTTCGCGACCTGTCCGCCCGCGACGAAGCTACAAAGCCATGTTAAACCCATTGATAAACACAGATAACAGCAAGAAGAAACGCACTTCCACGTCATCCCAGGCGTATCAAAAACCGCCCTCGCAATCTCCGTATTATTCCTCTCCACCACCTCCCGCGGAATCAACCTCGACCCCATAATCACATTCCCCCCATTCTCCCCCTCCGCATCCGGAAACGCCTGCTCATACAGCGCATAAAAATCGTCGTGCGCGACCGTGAACGCCCCGCCGACGTGCAGCGCCCCCGCCGCGCTCAGATTATACACCCGCTCGAACAGCGGCGCCCACGTCGCGTTCGCCTCCGCCCACGACGCGCGCGGCGACATGTAGAAGAACTGCAGCGTGTCGTTCGCCACGTGTCCGTATCCGCCCCACCCTGCGTCTGCGAGCGCGGGCAGCATCGAGTAGGACTCGGTGAGCAGGTCCTGGATCAGTGTGCGGTTCGCCGTCGGCGAGGTGACGTTGAAGAACGCGGCGACGACGGGCACAGACGGATAGGTGCGGTACGTAACTGAGGTGACGACGCCGAAGGTCCCGCCGCCACCGCCGCGCAGTGCCCAGAAGAGGTCCGAGTTCTGGTGCTTGTTGACGGTGAGATATGTGCCGTTGGCCGTGACGACTGTCATTTGGATGGCATTGTCGACGCCTGTTCAGACAATGAGACAGAGAAGTGCCGTGTGTATAAGATAGGACGCACCGAGACCGTAGGTCGACGACAGAGCACTGTGTCCGCCTCCTTGGATCCATCCACCAGCTGCACCCACGGAGCCACCAGCTGACAACCCACCAACAATGAGTCGTCCTTTTGCTTTTGCTGCGGCGTACGCCTCGAACCACTGGACGCCGGCAGAAAACGTGAATGCTGAATAAAAGAGGCTACGTTAATCACTAGCAAAGAAGGAAGCAAAACACCACCGCACCATCATACGTCTCGTTCGCCGACCCGCCCTCGGGGACAAACGCAGCATCATACGAGATATTCTTCATATGATGCGTCCACACCATCAACGCCCCCGCCCCCGCACTCCTCCCCACATAATCATGCCTAAGCACCCAACCACTCCCCGTCAGCCCACCACCTCATCCAAAAACACACACCCAACACGCACCCAGTATTCTTAACAACCATCCTCAGCCCATGTTCCCCCGCAAACCGCACCGCCGCCTGCACATCCCGCACCGTCCGCGCATCCACCGCACGCACCGGCACACCCCCCTGCGCACACCACCCCTCAATACCCGTGTCCGCGAAACACGCCGCAATCGACCCGTTCCCCAGTACATGCGCCTCCCAGTTCGGCGCCTGCATGCTCCCCGGCTGTCCAGCGCGCCAGCGCGAGTCCGTGTAGTTCGCGACCACGCCCGCGCAGTTCTGCGCCGCCGCCTGGGCCGCGGCGGCGGGCGAGAGCGAGGGGTAGAAGGAGGGGTAGCATTGCGCGGCGGTGGGGACGGGGTGCAGGAGCGGTTGCGAGAGCTCGGTTTGAAGCGCGGCGAAGGCGGCGGCGGACGGCCAGCAGGGCTGGTCGTATGTGCAGCGGCACCGGGATTGAGCCTGGGGCACAGCGAAAGAGGGAAGAAGGAGAGAAGAAAACAGGGCAGCTGCCAGAGCTGAGACGATGGGCTTCATCGCGGAAGCGCCTGGGCGAAAGGCGAAAGTGGTGAAGAACGAATAGAGCGAGCCGCCGGGGCTGGAGGGATGGTGAGCGTACTGATCATGATGGCGAGGGTTTTATGGAGCTCGCGGAGCCGGGGGGAGGTGAGATGCAAACGCTGTGGAGGTGGAGGAAGAGCGATAGGGGCAGCAGCACAGCCGACAATACGACCGACTCTATCAACGCAACTCATCATCAAATCATAATTTTGGATAACACTTCGGTGATGTCATCCAAAAGCCCTTATACTCTCGCTAGCCCAACCTTGGCCATCACAACATGCAGCACAGCTCGTGCTCGAGCTCGAGGCGCGACCGGAGAACGCAGGCTCAAGCATTCATGAAGCCCCGTCAGTGAAAGCCCCGCCAGTGAAACTCATCTCGATTGACAAACATATAGAGTCTCGACTCCATCTGACGCCTTCAGGCACTCGGTTGTGGAGTCGACGATTTACACGACATCGCGTGCGCCGTGACGATCACCTCCACCTGGCACCGCCCAGGCACGGCGCCTTCACCGCGAAGAACCCGCCATCTCGACATCGGCTGCTCGCACCGACTCGAAGAACAACGCCTTCGCAATGGGGCCTTGCAATGCGCCGAAGTACTAGGGCGTAGAGCGCCGCACTGAACAGACTGTCTCCTTGCGATAGAACGCAATTAACGGGCGCCATGACGCTAAGCGCCTTTGAACAACTTCTCCGGCTACGGGATCTGATTCCGAGCTATCCAACCATCCAAAACGTGATAACCCTCAAGCTCGAGGCCCACGCACGACGTCTTCGACACAGGCGCACCGCATTAATCTTTCCGCCAACTTCGGCGCTCTGATGCGCCCGAGCGCATCCAAAAGCGCTTTGCGAAGCCCTCACACTGCGCTGGTTGCATCGACGGAAATGCTATGTTTCTCTTGTTTCGCCAGTCAGAAAGGCGGTGTGATCTCGCTCACGTCTTGAGACTTGTCAAAGGGACGAACTGCGAGCACCATCGCGGGGTCAAGAACGAGTGCGAGGGGCATATTCGTGCTGAATCCAGCTAGTCGTACTGACACCAGTTTATGTTGCTTCTGCGCCTTTACCACATCCGTGACTTCCTTCCAGAACCTTGCGAGTCTAATATTTTCCGACGAAGGTAGCGTCAAAGAGGTTTCTTGGATCGTCAATAAGCTGGGGAAAACACGGGACAGAAGTATCCCCAAGAGGTTTCGCCGCGCTGGGACACGGGCTTTCCCAATCTTGTGGCACGTAGTGCATTGCGAGTGCCGCTATGCGATCGTTGCAAGGCAGCTTAGCGTCTCCAAAAAAAGAGGGCCTCGACACTCTCAAGTGTGACCGTTGTGTCGATGTCCAAGATGGCGAGGTGGGGAAGAGAGATGATCAGGTCAACCAGCTCTTGCAGCATCAACATGTGTTTGAGCGCGTGCATGCGCAGGTCACTGAGGAGCGACCAGCTGCGCACGGCGTCTAGAAGTTCCCAACCTTGAAGAGATATGTATCGGTCGCCGGGACGGCCGCGCAGGATGTGTAACAACGTGAGCTTTGAAAAAGGGGAAAGAGATCGGATCCACAGCATATCATCTGAAGCTAGGATTGCGTCTCCTTGATACGTATCCCGAATGGCGACCGACTCCAAAGGCTGCGGCGATAGGAAGCGAGAGAGTGCACCAGTGAACGTTTGAACATGGGCAGAGACACCGCGGATACTGAGCGCGCTTCTACATGAATGCTGCAGAGAGTGCAGCATGACGGCGATCCAAAGTCGCTATCACTGAAAAGGCATTCGACTGCTTTAGCCGCCACATCAGGAGAGAAGGTGAATAAAGCGAGCGTCTCGAGTCCTGAAAATCCGAAACATGTGCGCTCCTGGAGCTAGAGCGGTTCGTGGTGCACCATGTTTAGCACCAGTTTGGTGAAACAAGCCGAAGATGCCAGGAACGTGAGCGAACGAGCATCCAGGGGACCGCAGTCTAGTGACTTGAGATACGGCCACAGCGCGTCGCCACGTCGGATTCCCCCGTGAACTCCGCAAACAAGTGTTTGATGAGAGGGTGGCGGGAACCAAAGTCTTCTGGGTAGTGGATGTGTTCAAAGGAGGTGACCGCAGGACACCTGTCGAAAACTAGCTTGGTGAATAGGTGCCTAAACATACGTGGTCGACAAACCATAGCCCGGCCCCCGATGGGTCAGTGAACATTGGGAGCAGCGATGCGTGGGCACAAAGATCGAAGATAGCCTCGTTTATGTTCTATCCATCGGACAGGTTCCGATGTACGCCAGTGAGATACACGTTCACATGCTCCACCCTTGAAGCATATGCGACGAGGTTCCTCCATTCATGGTTGGTACAGTACAAGGCATGTAATGAGGGATCTTTGAAAAGCGAGCAACGTTTGGTATGTCATCACCAACGCAGGCGATGATACGATCCAGAAACTCGGATAAAAGGAGACAAGGATGCATGCTGCTCGAAGGGTGTATGATGAACGTTTTATTATTATTATTATTATGGATCATTTTAACGTCCAGCGGGGCGGTGGCCCCATGACGGACGCTCTCAGCCGTTTCGTACTGTATCGTGTGTTACACTGTCGTGTCCCGTTGAAACCTTCGCACTTACTCGCCATCCCCCTGGGATGTGAGCAACGGGGGCTAGGACCGAGCGGCGGTCCTCCCTAGTCTGGCCGTGCTTGTCCTTCGTCTATTCTCGTCTCGTTTCCTGGCTCCCTGATCTCCTCTCGCCTTCCTCTCTCTCCTCTTCGCCCTTAGCCCAAGCCCCCGTTGTAACGAGCTACGCCTTCGAGTAAATTTTTCTGCAGATATCCCCGTATGTTTTCTTAAATCGCCCGGTTTCGTAAGAGGTTGGATCGCTCGCTCGTTGGTGAGCAGGTATGGTAACGACTCTGCGTCGCGTCCCAGTTTTCGTAATACTGTAGCATTTCGACCAAGCGTTCATCAAAACCTTATGTAATGAAGCGCCGAAGAACAGGCGCCTCGGTCACCGCTGTTCAGGCCCGGTCGTGACGTGTGACAGTAGTCCGCGGTCATCAGCGTCCGTGACCGTGCTTCGTCGATAGCTCGAGGACTCTCACTGTTAGCCTCGAGGTGCTACTCCCACTTTCCTTCTCTTGTCTCAGCTGTCAAAATTGCGGCTCCATTGCCAACTTCTCACCTCTGCTATTGGTCCCTCCCCTCTCATTCAATAAGAAAGAAGTGGACCCAGAGCAAACACGGTGCCGAAGGAGCTTCTACCAACTTGGTAGGAAGCATTCTTGAGGATCTCGGTCGGATGGGCGAGGAGTTGAGGCTACCACTGCGGAACGCGGCAGATTCTGACGCGCGGGAATCAGCAAGGCATTAGCAGATGTTTGACAGATTCCGCGCCGATGCAACGCGAATACGACGCGCCATGGATCTGAGTCGGATTGTCGCGTTTTGGGTGGATCCTGCGCGCATTCCTGTCTGATGTTAGGTTCATTCTGAGGCCCTGGAATCTTGACTCGCCACTAGCTAGCTAGGTTATCTCGCGCATGTAATAACAATTAAATAATAAATGAATTGGATTATTCGCCACTAATCGGCTGCTCGACAGCGCTTCGCGCACGTACGGTTGATCAAATCACTCCTCCTTCGATTGCAGTAGCATAGAAGGCCCTCTGTATTTGATAACTACATAGAGACACCTCGGAACGTATCATGAAAGTTTAAAACAAGGTCCCTTCGAGCCTAGAACACTGTAAAGAACGAGAAAACGCGAGGGGAGTCCAGCGCGAACCTAGATATCGCAGCCCACTCCCCACCCAGCTATAGACGCAGTATCCATGTCGGGCGGACAGCCTGCAAGCGCGCCAGCATCGGGTAATGCCACACGATTGAATAAAGTCATCCTTGATCACGAGAAACTCCAGCAAAAGCACGCTGCCCTCCAGACAGCTGTCGCTGAAAGCCAGCAGGAAACCGATCGAAAGCTCAAAGTCTTGTATCAGCAGACCCAGCTCTTGAATGCGAGGATAGACGAGCTCGAGAAGTCCAAGAAGATGCAGCAAGAGCGTATCGACGTCTTGGAGGAAGTGTCACAAGTCAAGTGGGTTGATGGGGCTGGCGCCGAAGCAGAGAACGAGGGTGTCGAGGGAGCTGCTGCTGCTGAGGGAGCCGCTGCTGTCAATGGAGCTTCAGCCGTCGAGGTGCCTGATGAGGACACCATTCAGCGCGAGAACGATGAGGCTCTAGCCTCGAAGCCTGTCAAGGTGAGCATGGACATGTAATTAAGGGGATGGGATGGGATGCTTACGGGTCATAGAACCTCATCAACGACAGCTACGAGGCATTGTTAGGCACAAAGCTTTCGGGGAAGAACTTACCAGGATATCCGTTTGGTATAGACCGTGAGCACGAGACCTGGCCCAAGGACCGAGCAACAAAGAAGGCACTCGTTCGGTTTGACTGGCGTGAAGGACAACACGACAGCAGTATCAACGTCGAAGGGAGGGAACAAGTAGTGGCGATGGTGCGTACCTTGGCTAAGCAGCGGGGAAAGACCACCACAGCGTATGTCGAGAAGATCATTCCCGGGCAGCTAGAGAAGAAGGTTAGGGCAAAATACTTGACGCTCGGAGCTGCGTACCGTGCAGAGAATAAGGATGACCTGGAGGATGACGGTGAAGTGGACAGCAAGGGGATGGGATCACGCGTTAAATCAGTACGTCAACAACAGCAGCATCAGCCAATAACTGCATACCTGACATAGCAATAGAAACTCGAGGCTCGCAGTCGCAAGCGCGGCTCGGAGCTCTGCCCCGCAGATCTGAAAGATCCGAAATGGGACACTTTAATGATTAGAAATGCGATGTCGGATGATGAAGACGAACCAGAGTATACCTCTGGCGATCCGCGTGCATTTCTTTCTGTCGAGTGGTACTGGAGACATAAACGAGTAAGTCAGTTGTGAATTGATATCAGAATACTAACATACCTCTGCGACAGGTATCAGAGTTCTTCCAGCATCTTGACGCTGTCCCTGACCCTAAACCTGACCGTGGCAAGCTAGCGGTTCCACGCAGGAGAGCTCTTCACGTAAAAATGAAGCCTCCGCACACGGCGAGGCAGCTGAGGACGCGTGTCAGAACCTATATGGTCGATGAGGAAGTGTTAGCTAAAAATCCGGACTGGCTGACGACAAATAAGGTGGCGCTTAGCGGGGCATTATGGGGCAAGGCTGAGCCCATCGAAGACGATGGTAAGAAGAAAAGAAAGGCACCCACTAGTACAGTGGGTCAGCGGATCGTCCGCAGGCGTGCTGAAGAGAGTGGCCAATCGTCCAAGGTGACGCTTGAAGAGCTGGAGAAGAAGATGAATGATACTTTGGGTGGAGAAAACGTAGACTCACTGTTTAATTAGATAGATGTAGCTGCAAAGGTGTCAATAACAAGGTCTTGAACTTGGTAAAAAATGCTGCATGCTTCAATCGAGCAATGGATCGTGTGACTCGAGGCCGTTCTGTCAAGTATAAATAATAGATTAGAATATGAAGAAAGGAATAAGAACGTACCCTGTCACAGAAAACCACGACCCACAGGGGAGGCAATGGCGGTCCAAGGTCTTGATGAGGGATAGGGATAATGATGACTGGACACGAGAGCTGCGAAGATGAGACAATCTCCAGTGGCCCATACAAGCCCTTTTGAACAACTGTGGCCCCGAGCTCAGTCGCACTGTCAAGAGATCAAGTGTCAGTAATAAAACGACGCATCAGAAACACTTACAATCCGTCCCATGGCATCTCTGGTATATCAGAGCCCTGTATCATCCGTTGAATAGCCGAGCAATAGATCGGCTCTGCGTGATGTGGCACCTCAACAATGAGATGATATAAGACCTTGCATGGTGCAAGGCTATCGTCCGTTTCTATGCCTGCAAACTCGTCAGTGTTAGTCCGTCGTGTGTATGCTGATCCAATGCGAATGCCGTTAACAGTGATGAAGGGAGAGATGCGAGTGGAACCTGATGCTGAGACTATAGTGATGTCGCATCCAGTGGACATGTCGTCGACAATATTGAGAGGTCCCAGCGTCTCGAGAGACTGGAGATAGCTGATGAGGAGACCATACACCTCTGGGTGTTGCAGCGTCCGAAGGTTGACGTGTTTTTTTGAGGTTTGTCGCGATGGTATAACAGTACCTCCTGTAAACGTTCAAGTAGCAAAGTCAAATGGACATATACGTGGGGCTCACCAGATGCGAACTCCGTGTTCTGGTTATTCAGTGTCCCTCTATCCATCCCTTTTCCGTTGATGATCCGCTCTACAAGTTCTCGCTCCCTCTCTGACGCATCTTCTGGTAATGAAACAGCCTTTGAAAAGTGAGAGCCATGGAACAGATTATAATAGATGGACTTACGAGCTCATATAATCGCTGCTTCTCTACCCAATCGCGTACAAGCGAATACTCCATTTCCCCTCCTCCATGCCCATTCAAGTTAACCTTCTCGAGCAAGCCGTTGAAACGCTCAAAACCGAACAGCCAGCATGCGTACACAGGACCATACCGTTGCAAGATCTCTGAGTAATGCATTGCCATGTGGTGGTTGACCGTAAGGGAGACACCGAGAGCCTGTAGACCTTGACAATAAAGCTGAATGTAGCCTTGACCTCGGTCTACATCAGCAATAGAGATGGAATGGCGCGCAAGAATGCGCTCAGCGATGGCAAGATATAGCACTAATCTGTAGATTTGTCGAATGTCACGTCGCCACGTTGTGTGATGCTTGGGGTTTGGCGGAATAGGGGGAGCAGTCGAGATGATCTCGCCTCTGGTATTTCGCCAGCACACCCAAAGCACAAACGGCAGGACATGGCACAGATGGCGCCATTGGTCCGCTTTTGGCAGGGAATGGTCACTGTCGAGCTACAGAAGATGAGCCCGTAATAAAATAGAATAAAATCAGAACATACATTCTTTGGAAGACGACCTATAGACGATGGCCAGATAATCGAGTTGATCGTATCTTTGTAGAGTGAGGTCCTAGCACTGTCAAGGAGATAACCGTGGTTGATGACATCGTAGTAAATCCGTTTGACTATTCCCACTAATACTGCAGTAAGCGTAGCAGTCAACAAGGCAAATAGACAAAAACTCACGGTAAAAATTATGCATATAGTCCACTGGCGACGAAGCACTCGGCATCCATCCGGGAAGGTCATTGAGTACAGAGTAGCGTACTCCATGCACGTCGAGGATGTCCTTGCGTGCCGCTTTTGACCTGACAGACTTTGATATCTGTGCCTGTTTGATCTGGTCCCAATCGTCTCGCATGCGGAAATCTGCGGAAAACAATTAGTCTGCTCGAAGAAAGTAGATTTATAACTTGCTATCAATGTCATATCCTGCCTCTGTATTGACGTCTTCAAGGGTGATAAAGCAGTGGTTACACGGGTGCGTCTTGTGGCTATGACTCGCTTTCCCCGTAGTCTTGCGAGTCACTGCGTTTAGGGCTCGATGAGCCGTGAGAAACCAAGCTGGGCTAGCCGCGGCTTGCCTCGGTTAGCCGGACCTGATCGAAGGCTTCATGTAGGCGAAGCTCCTCGATTCGGGTTCGTTCCGGCTACCGAACGCGAGCTCGTCTCCTCACGTTGTATGTTTAGTCGACCTCCCGCATGTACACGGAGCCGTTCCCGCTTTGCAATAGACCAGCTACCTTTTGCTCACTAGACGATCTCAGCCGTGAGTGTCCGAGGCGATCTACAGAGAGTGAACTAGGTAAGTGTTCTCATGACTCCTACTTGACCTCGACTGCCCTCCTTTAGCTCGCGAGGGCGAACGAGCAAGCACCCCATGTACTTATAGACTTAGCAAATGTCTTTGCTCTCCATCGCCCGCCTCTCTTCCTCTTCCCTCGACGACACCCTTCCCTCGACGACGTCCTTCTCCCACCCACCCACGTCCTCGCTCTCCTGCTCCCTCCTTCCTCTCGCTTCGACGTGCGCACA